GAGAGTTTAATTTTGAAATTGTAAGTGATAGGTGTGGATTTTTAGTTTTGGAGTTTCAACTCCAAAGTTGGTGCGCAGGAATTCGAAAAGATGTTTCTCATTTTCATGTACTAGTAATTTATTCAACTTACCAGCTATTCGATTGAATCCTGTTTTCTTTGAACTTCTAATTTTGGAAAGTTCAAATGATCTTTCGACATTGAGAGAATTCTCTAAAAAGGAGTAAAAACGTTCGAAATCATGACTAGGACTAAATCATTGCCGGTGTACTCAAATAGGACCAGCACACTTTATTCACCTAAATAGGACCAAAAACCTGATCAACTGACAAAATTACCCTTTTTAAAATTAAGCTTATGACTCGGCTTTGAGTCTTGGGGAATTTTCTTCCACTCCCGTACTTTAGCTACGTTTTGGGACTTTTGGCCTAGACTCAGCCCAAAATGCCGCCGTCACCAAATTGTCTATCTATCGACGATGTATTCCAGCGGAGTGTTCTGCCGCTGTACGTTGCCGGAGCAGTCTATCTCTTCTCCCCGCTGCTGGAGTGGTCTGCCGATGTTTGTCGCCAGAGTGGTTGCCTGGTCTTCTTCTTTTTCTTCGTTTTCTCCGTCTTTCTCTTCTGTAGCTCTATGCGAGTCTCTCTATGCCTTCTTTTTTGCTGAGTTTGTTGTTTTTAGGGAAAACTGTCAAATAGGTCCTCGAACTTTCATAAAAAAGTCAATTAAGTCCTTTTATAGGAGACTTTGTCCGGTCGTCGCGATTTGGGGCTGTTCCCGGTGGAATTTTTTGATGAAATTTTTTGAGCATCTTATTCATCAAGTCTAGTTTACTCATACCAAATTTCAGCTAAAAATTTAATTGGGAGCGCATTCAAATTAATTCGAGAACGCAAAAATGCGCAATTATCTTCAAGAATTAATTTGAATGTGTTCCCGATTGAAGTTTTAGCTGAAATTTGGTATGAGTAAACTAGACTTGGTGAATAAGATGCTCAAAAATTTTCATCAAAAAATTCCACCGGGAACTGCCCCGAATCGCGACGGCCGGACAAAACCTCCTATAGAAGGACTTAATTGACCTTTTATGAAAGTTCGAGGACCTATTTGACAATTTTCCCTTGTTTTTATGAGTTTTTTTTCTATGCGAGTGTGCCTTGCGATACATCTTAATACACTTTGATTGTTGTTTGACTTTTCAATTTCTTAATTTTCTCAATTTTAAATTCTTCCGTATTTACTCGTATTATTCTTGTTGTTTTGTTTTATTTTGCAGATTCATCCAAATAATTAAATTTATAACGTTTTTCACATTTATTTTGATAACTTTTTTCATTGATATTAAAATAATAAATAGTTTGAAGTTATTAGTAATGTAATATTATTGACATTGTTCTTATTTTGCAGGATTTTATTGTATAATTATGGACATTCACATTAAATCACAAAATTGTCAAAGTTTATTACATTATTTTCTTTTTACAACGACATAAAATTACAAAATATAGAGCAAATGTCACAATGTCAAAGAAATGTCAAAAATAACAATGACAATTTCAACATTATAGAATGACATTGAAATAATGACAATGTCAATGTCTATCATAACATTGTCAATTCTATGATATTGGATCGGACCAGACTGTGCTCACTTCTAATAAAATTTCATTGTTAAAAACAACATTAATGCTATAAAAAGTGACATTATTTTTGTTATGACATTGAGATAATGTGACGTTGGCATGCCATTGTAAAAATTGACAATGTCAAAAAACTCTAACATGTCAAATAATAACAATGATAATGTCATTGCTAGAAAAAATGACATTGTAAAAATGACAATGTCAATGCTCAAGTCAAATGTTGTGACGTTGAAATGCCACATTGCAATATTAACATTGTGACACTGTCAAGAATTGACATTGTTTTTGTTAATGACATTGAAATAATGTGATGTTGGCATGCCAGTGTAAAAATTGACAATGTTGAAAAATTCTAACAATGTCAAATAATAACAATGACATTGTCATTGCTAGAAAAAATGACAATGTCAATGCTGAAGTCAAATGTTGTCGTGTCAATGTCAATCCTATAAAAATGACATTATTTAAAACAATGACAATGATGTAAATGTAGTTTTTATAGAAAAATACATTTTTGACAATGTTTTATAATGTCGTTATATGTCAATGTAACAATGTCATTGTTTAAAAATTAATATAATTTCCCAAAATAAAAAAAAGTCAAAAAATAAATAATAAAAACTTGAGAATGTTAAAGTAATTTATTAGCATTATCTATTTTCTTCACACTATCATTATTTATAGTGAAAATGTCATGACATTGTTAATGCAATTAAAATCAAACAATTGTAACCAACCACATTCACATCGTAAATTGTATTGGTATATTGAAAATATTGTCAATAATATAAAAAATGCCACACTATTAATATTATTTATCAACAATGTCAATATTGATAATATCATTGTAAAAGAAACCCATTTTCGGATATTCCCTCATACTGCAAAACACATTAGTGGCATTCCTAATCTTCTTCAATTCGTATGTAAAGCTTTTATCTTTTGGTGGTGACATTTAAATTGCATATTTTGAAATTAAACATGGTAATTTTTTTAGAGGAATCATTAATTCAAGTTAGGTTTGTGGTATGATTATCTTATCTTATCATCAATACACACATAAATCAAGAGTTTGGCTTTGATTTATTTACCGAACAAATACACCACCGTACTCCGGCCAACAAATTGCCGCGAAACTTAGAAACCAAAATAGAAAGAAAAAGAAATATCCAGATCCGCAATTCCAAATCTGCAAAAATCGAAAAAACACCGCACATCTAAAAACGGAATCCGCACAATTGGAGCAGCACCGCAGATCGCTAGCATGTGTCCAAATTCTGAATCTGCAAAAAAATTGAAGCCTCAGACGTCACTAGACCTATGCTTACTCCTTCATGGACATCACAACAGATCTTAAATCGGAGAAATCGGAGCAATTAGAAGACAGTACTAGCAGGGACATAAGTCGGTCGGCGAATTCTATCTGTGAAGAAGAGGTGCGAGATGGGAACATCGCCGTCGTTGGCCGTCGGCGTTGCTTCTCGTCAGCGCCGCTGGTTTCCGCCGTCGCCTCCACTGGCTGTGCTCCGCCGCCTTTGCTGATCGTTATCATCTATTCCGATCCTTTGGGTTTCAGAATCTTTCTGTGTGGTAGCAAAAAACTTGCGGACACAGAGCTTATTTAATTCCATACAAAAACTTAAGCTCCTATTTAGCACCATTTCTCAATTCCAAAATAGCTAAATAGGAGTAAATTTCTATCAAGTTTGACACTACAAGGCTTTTAAACATGGTATTTTTTTTCAAACTTGGCAGATTACTCCTATTTATGGAATGGAATAAAAAACATGATACTCCTATTTTGGAATTTCAGAACGTTTTTACTCCTATTTAGGCCAATTTCTGTTCAACATTTGATTACCAAAAACGTGAATACAATTTTGAATATTTGCTAGAAGCCTAGAACACTTAATGGGATGTAATTAAGTTAATTGTGATGTATTTTAAGTTAATTGGGGTGGGGATTTCTTTTTCAATACTCTTAATGGGAGCACTAAGTGACGAGTTGTTCGAAACTCGTCTATAGAGAAAAGGTATAACTAAATTACATTGAGAAAAAATAGTGTCAATTCACTGTACTAATGACAATTTGAAATTAGCAAACACAAAGAGAGGTCCTTTTACAATACGATATTACCTCTATCTATATAACACCTCGTGAGCTTGTGTTAGGGGTGTTCATATCTATTTTGGTTTGGAATAATTATTATCAATCAAAACTCATACTATATTTTTGTTCGGTTCGGTTGATTTGGTTTGGATTTAACAATATATGAATGTTTTATTAAATTTTTTTTGTTCGATTTGATTTTGTTCGGTTTTTATTGATTTCGATTTGGTTCTATTTAATACGATTTGAAAGAAATATTATCAAATTCAAACCAAATTGCATATAATCCGAGTTCCAAGATTTGATATCGTTCTGTTCGATTAAACCAGCACCAAGTTTGTCTAATGCCATGAGCCGCTTAACCCAACAGCATACTGAAATACATGTTCTCGGTGCCTCTACTCAAGATAATGTGTTCCTTCAATAGCATACAATAAACTACACTACGTAAAAGTTTATTTCAGAACTACAAATTATAAGTAGTTAGAATTAAAATACCATGAAACAATAAAAAGAAATCCTAATTAAAAAAATCTAACTAAATGTCTAAATCCCAAACCATTTTATACCCGAAGATGCATTTTCCAGCCCCACATTTTGAGCATCCAAAATCAACCTAAGATGACAAGATTATTAAGGAAAGTGAGTTTGTGTGATTGATAAAGTAAGAAAAAAGTAAGAATGATTTAGCGGGACGATTTTAGTGAGATTTTCCGAAAAGGTAAAATGAAATAATCTTAGCGGGATAGAAGGAGGGACGGAGCGAATACTATTTACCAGGAGACCTATGTAAGCGTTGGAGTACAACTAGACTCTTTTTGTGTGGATTGCAGATTTTTTTGTTTCCAATACATACATACTACGTACTATTTTACTATTTTTATGATATCTTTCCTTAAATAAGATTAAAAACAGCAATGTTTCTAATTTTTTTTATTATTATAGCATTTTAATGTAAATTTAAGTCATTATTATAATTACTAAAGTATAAAATGTCACATCTTTATACACTATTTTTACAACCAAACAACCTTAAGCGTTCTATGTTTTAATGGAATTGCAGTTCCCCATTTTTATTTTATTATTTTTCCGATAAAATGGGTAGTATTTATTCTGATCAGTTATCACTATGACATTTTGAAAGACGGAGTTCATAAAATTTAAATTTTATTAGCTTTTAACCCCATGTTATAACAAACACACTAAACAACATAATTCATATGCCCCACTTTCCAATTTCGCACCATACAACCATTAGAATTTTATTAAGTTCATATTCGGCGGTATGATATACCAAATAAAATTGATTTCCATTCCTTCTGGTAATCATACTGCTTTAACATTCCAACTCACAACCCCATGTGGTGTGGGGCAAGAAAGCAATCCTGCCCCGGGCAGGAGAAGGATACTCTGTAGATTTTAAACACCCAATCTCATCATCATCTTCATCATAGTTCATATTATTGCAAGTTTGGAACTTTATTCAGATTTCAGATGTCATAAACTTCCTGTAAGGTCATTCCTTAAAGTACCGTTACACCGTTGCCTATAAAAGGGAAATCAAGATGCCAAATTTCCCAAATTTGACCCAATCACTCGATTGACGCGCTTATGGTTCCGTGAGATCATCGTTCTCCTCCTCCGCGACTTCCCAATCCGACCGCCTCGTATTCCGCCGCTTGACCTAGTCCTCCGACGGTCGTTGCGCTCCGTTGACCGGCTGTTGCAGTCGCAAGAATGAGCTTTCCGAATCAGAACATGAGGAAAAGAGAGCGAGAGAACCCCTGCGTCGTCTGCGGCCACTACCACAAGTACGAGGAAGGCGAGGTTTGCCCGACCTGCGGCCACCGCATGCCGGGGGTGACCGAGAAGACGTCTCCGATCCACGTCAGCGCCTTCCCTTCTGAGATCCTGCCCGACTTCCTCTTTCTGGGCAGCTACGACAATGCCTCCCGGGCAGAGCTTCTTAAGACCCAGGGGATTTCTCGAGTTCTCAATGTTAGTCAATACCACTTCTCCTTATGGTCTGTGTAGTTTTTGTTAAGTTATGATCAGATCAAAGCTAAAAAATACTAGCCTTTATTTTGGTTTGCTCCAAAAGGCACTTGAGGAAAGGGTATTCTTTGAAAGTTGGAAGCGTCGCTGTTGCTTCACACTAATCGAGTATTCTAAAAGATCTGGAGCAATTGCCTAAGCAATAACTTTATTCCCTATTCTGGATACAAGAAGTGCTAGGTTTCTTTACATTCATCATAGGGGTATAATTGATGCTTATTATTGTGTATGTACTAATCGCTGAAATCTCTTGGTACTTCAATAATGAACCTATAGGCTATAATGATTACAAATAAGTAAATTTTATATTTATAGCAGAAATATGTGAAAGCCTATGCTTACAATTTCCAAATTAGTTGAAAAGGCACTGGCAAACGTGATAACTGATAGTTTTTCTTTCCAAAGTAGAGAAAAAGGTTAAGGGAGTACTTGTTGATTGATCTGAGAGCTTATGTTTCTGAATTGGGTGGAAAAAGTTGGTGTAGGCTAGGCCAGATTTTAGCTGCATTTGAATGTACCTTTACTCAGTCTACTTTAAGATGAATGAACCATGTGCCATACATTATGTATTCTTCCGGGTAAGCTGGCCATCATGTTGCTCCTTTAAGAGCATTTACAATGGCTAGCCTAAGGATAAAATCCGGTGTTTGCTTAGATCATAGGAGAGCATAATGGTTTTAAACTGATTTTCTTCCCTTATTGGAAATATCATAACATCTCAAGTTTTCTAAATGCTGAATGATACTCTCAATTCACTTGAAAATTGAAATATCCTCTTTACTTGCCTCCCAGTTAGTTAATAAGAAAGTCTGGTATACTCCTTCTGTCCAACACACATTGGAAGTATTTTGCTTTTTAGGCCAAGTGTGTTGAACTTTGACCAATAATATATTTTTGAACAAAATGACATAATGATAAGTAATGTAAAGTGTTCATTGTTAAAAATACTTATATTAAAGTATGTAATTTATAATATTTAAAGAAATATAACAGTTGGAAACATTGGTCAAAATTGTACATTCTTGACCACAAAAGTCAAATGTGGCCTATCTTTGTGGACGGGCGGGAGTACATGTTATGATTATTATTGTTGGTTATCTTCTATGATGAATATAAAATTTCCACATAGATAGGATATATCCTTGGAAAGCTAATATGTTTTCTTTTTGCAGACTGTTCCTACCGTTCAAAACCTATATAAAAATTCTTTTACATATCACTGCCTCCAAGATGAGCAAAATTTAGAGTTTGATGATGCGGTTGAATTCTTAGGTGATATTTCTTTCTCTTGATTTCATGATATTGCCTCTGACGGTACATTTTGGTGCTCTCATTAACCTTGTGTTTCTTACACAGTTTTTAATGTTTTTCCCCACATAGCCATTTGTGGCATAAGTTTTTTCATAAAATCCTTTGAGACAACTGTATATCAGAAAGTGAAACTGCTAATCTATAATGTTCAATCATCATAAAATGCTAGCATAACTTGGTTTTGAGATTTGAAATGGTCTCACCATCTTGTGTTAGATCCAGAATTGTCCTTCCCATACTTTTCCTGTTTTTGCTACCCAAAAATGAGATTATGAACTTTGTGTTTTTGCAGAAGAATGTGAAAGGGATAGAGCACGTGTTCTTGTACATTGTATGACAGGAAAAAGCAGGTAAGAATGCCTTTTTCTGTATATCCCCTCTCTTAGTTGAGGGAGTGGCCAAGTGGGTGGTGTTGGAGTCAGATTCCATTATTAAAGATCAATGATAAATATATTTGTGGAATAGTAAATGATTTTGTTGAGTACACCTTCAAACTCGTACAAAAAGATCATAGTTAAATGTTTGATTAGAACTTCAAAAGTTACCTTGGCTTTCAGGTCCCCTGCCATTGTGATAGCATTCCTGATGAAAAGTAAAGGATGGAAACTTGCACAAAGTTATCAATGGGTGAAAGAGCGTAGACCTGTGGTTGAACTAACTCAAGGTTTGGCTTATAATTTTTTTCTATTTAATATTTCCCGAGTCTTTTAAAAAAGCCTTAGATATAATTATGGAGGTTTCAAGATTAGAAACATGACTGTTTCTAGACAGTTTTCTAAACGGGCCGCCCAGAGTTACTACTATAAGGCTAACATGCAGATTCTTTTGGGGTTTTGAAAGATGATCAAGAAATGTTCCAATGCATACCCAAACAACAACAACATTACCCTAGATTTCCGGATGACCCATGATGAAAATCGCGTCAATAATTGCATGGACTGACTGCTGCTTCATAACAAAGAAGAGCAGACAGTTCAGTGAGTTATTTTGCTTTATTCCATTATATCCCCCAAGCCAAAAAATAGTGAGTTTTTGGCTCCATTGGAAATGATGGAAAATAATTCCAATGCATTCCTATTTCTAAAAAATATGGCATGTGAACATGTCACGTGCATTTGAAATATTTTACCATTCAAACAGCATTATGTAATGTCCCCTCAAACTTAAGAATTTTGTAATTAAAAGTCTTTTAGGATCAAACAACTTCGGTTGGTCATATACTGCCTCCATTTTTATCTATTTGCTCTGCATTTCTTTTAGGAAAGACTTTATCAAATTCGCTCAATATCCTAGTTTATTAACTAAATATCCCTACTTTTTGTCTTCTCATTCCTACGTTTTTGTATACATATTCTACCTTGTTACATCCGCCCCCTTACCCCACGTCCCCACCGAAGGTGTGGGAGCCTTTGCGGCACTGGGGTAATGATGATGATGATTCTACCTTTTATTCTTCTTCTCATTCCTACAATTCACTACCCCTGCTGATTTTTCTTAGCTTCGTGAAAAATCTAATGGAACAGTTAATAAAAAAACAGAGTATAATTATAAAAAATGGCATGCCTTTTAGCCTCCCATATAGTATGGGTTAATTATAGTGTTGATATGCTGGTATTTGTTCTTAGATTACACTACGTATTTAACATGCAAGTATAAAATATAAAATATGTATAGTTTTTTACTTTAAAAAAATAGTTTTTTTTACTTTATCTTGGATCATTTGGAAACGTCTCTTTCTGCTTTAGTACAGGTGTCCTTTGCGGCACTAGTGTAATGTTGTTGTTGTGTATAGTTATTTACTTTAAAAATAATGCAATTAATAAGTGGTATCGAGTAATTTTGTTTTTTTTTTTTGAAAAATATGATGTTTTCTCTAACAGCTGGGTTTTAGAACGTTTGAATTTATAACTAACACGAATTAGTTTTAATTGTGTTTTCAAATTTCAGCCATCTACCAGCAATTGCAGAAATACGAACAGCAAGTCTTTGTAAGCGGGAGTGGCATAGTCCCTTTGAGCGTGGCAGCGGCGGCCTCAAACCCCCCTGCCCATCACGTGGCGCCTTCATTCAGCTTCGGCTTCCCAAAGCCCAGTGAAAGTGCTTCAGCGTTTTCTGTTCCCACTTTCAACACTGCTGGTGCAACTTCCGTTTTCACCAACCCACTTCTCAGCAACATTGCTCCTCACGAATTCACTTTTGGGGCTGCTGGGTGTACTACCACCTCACAAAACCCTCCTCCCATTGCAAAAGCAAATGCAAATGATGGTGGTGATATATGCATGGATGGGTCATGAAGAAAAAAACACCCGGGAAATCGAAACCCAATGTCAGTCTAGAGTCTCACGATGAAACTGCGTGGTCACAATGCAAAGCTTCAAAAGTTGGTGAGGGGGACATTTGAATGTCATCTACAGATGTAAATTTGGGAAAAAGTGTTCATACCCAGTACTTGTTTTTTGCTTGCTCTTACTTTAAATTATGGTTGTTGTGACTTCAATGGCTTAGTTGTGATGGGAATCCATGTTTTGTTCAAGACTCGTGGACGAGAGAACCAATCTAAGCGGTATTTGTACATTGTGAAATTATATCTAAATCAGTTGGATTAGTTTTCAAATTCTAATTTTTTTCTGTATAATAAATATATCTAGCTATAATTCTGTAATATAGCTTAAACCAGTTGGATAAATATTCACACTTGTCACATTTACTGACATAGCATAAGTAGATGTAAAAAATGTTATACATTATAGAAGCCTGACTTCGTTATACATACATACTAGTATATAAATAATACATTATCATAATGATAATGATTAGATAAAAGATTGAATGTAATCGACTCAAAACAGATTATTTTTGCCATGGTGTGGGCCGTGGGGTGCTTTGAAATATGCTTGTCTGGTATGGAGTTATATGGACTATATGGTATATGATGTGTATAGCCATATAGGTATGTGTGGACTGTGTGGTCCAATTTGACTAATCGTTGGAAACTTGGAATTGGTGAAGAAAGAAAATCTAAACTCTAAAATAGCAACGTTTAAAAAGGGTCGGTAATGAGAGGGTGCGTTTAGAAAGGGTCGGTCATTTTTGAACGTGATAATGAATTTGTGGAGGTTCATTGAAGACGATTTATGAAAAATTGTACATGAAGGTAGTACCGTAATAGTAACAATATGTTTTGGAAGTCAAATTAATCAATACCATAATGACATTTTTATAAGAAAAGGCTTGTATTATACCCCGTATTAAATTGAAACACAATGTTAACAATGTTACAACAAAGCTCCCAAAGCAAACCCTATTCCTAGACTTAGATATAATATCTCTACAAAATGAACTGCTGATCATTAAACGGACACAAGAAAGTTACCCAAGACGGTCAGTGCCGTCTTACTTCTCACCACTCAAACCCAGTTATAAATGCTAGACTACCTAGCATGGTAACACATAAAATGACTTAAAAATTAATCAGAATAAAGTACTAATGTAAACGAGATAAAAGAAAAGATCAAAGTTGACTCCTTCACGACCACACCGAATCGAATAGAAATGGCGCAACCTTCCGACCAAACTAGAATTGGCGAGCCCTTCATTTTCCCTACATATGGTTATGTTTCCCTCCATTGAACATGATAGCAGTACCCGCGACCCCGAGCGCATCACATATCCTACTAATCTGAATATGATTTGCCACAGAGTCCGCATCTAATCCGTTTTTGGAACATGCTATATCATCTCATGACTCGACATTCATCCTTTTTATACATCAACATTGCATCATCATCTTCCAGGAACATTCTTTCACTCCGGCTTAGTATTGTAGGAACTCTTCGGATCTAATAGAGTGGTGGTCGGGGTAAGACATTCTTTCATTCCTTCACTGGTCACCAAAAGTGCTCTCAAAATATCACCTTAGCGTTTTTGCTAAAACCATCTTCAAAGTGTGGGGTAAGACAACTTGACCTCCTATTATTCAACATTATATTTATATAATTTGTTAGACGTCGGGGTTTGTGATAGCAGAGCTTATAAGTTATAACACCTATATTTAGATCAAGTTGAGCTCCTGCATCTCAATTCTAATGAGTATTCATAATTAACATTGTAGTTTCAATGACTTCTATTCACATCAAACAAAAGATTCTTAGAATAAGGTGATTCACCCACTCTTTTAGTCTAAATCTAAACAACTATCATTCAACTCTAACCACATAACACCATTTTCAATTTATGTCCGTCCATAAAAAAGTGGAAAAATTGACAAGAATAATCCCACCTTTTACTGGTCTTTTCATAATAATCCCATATTTACATAATTCCAAAATAATCTCACTTTTGCACCTTATCTTCTTTCATTGGACATTTGGACCCTGATCAAGTTTTTTACCCTTCTTTGAAAATCTTATATAAATAATCTCACACTTATAAAAATATAATAAAAAAGTGAAAGGTAAGATTATTTATATGATTTTCAAACAAAGATTAAAAAACTTGGTCAGGATCCAGTGAAAGAAGATGAGGTGTAAAGGTGATATTATTTTGGGATTATGTAAATGTGGGATTATTATGAGAAGAACACTGAAAGGTGAGAATATTCTTGTCAAATTTTCCTAAAAAAATATGGAGTATTCTATACGAGAAGAGTAATTCATGATTATTATTTTTTGCATATAATTATTCATGATTATTATTCAAGTCAAATGTGATTTCATTTCATTAGTATAACGAGGGGACCCAAATGCGATTACAAGAAAAAAGAAAACCTTTTCAAGGAAAAAAGAGAAATCATTCCCTCAAAAAATAGCCAGTGTATCGTGTATCAGACGGTTGCATAACGGGCACGATCCTCCGTTCAACCACATTTCTCGGGAACACGCCCTACAGTAGGTGTGCCCACACGGTATCAAAGCCGCGCCTCGATTCCTCTCCTCGCACACCCCGCAAACCCCGCCAACAGCGCTTCCTTTTCTGCCGTCGTTCACGGCGGCGCTTTTCACATCGCGGCCGTCCGCCTCCTCGAACAACGTCACCAGCGTTTTGACCTCGACGGCCGGAGCCGCCCTCCGCAGGCCGCGCTCGGCGGCCAGAGCCATCGCCAAGTTCCACCGGCCCTGCTGCACCGCCATCGCGTCCGCGACATCTTCGATGGTCTCGAATTGGGCTTGGGCCTTAAGTTGGGCTTCTTCATCGCTGATCGTTGAGTCCGGAACTCTGTGGCTCCTCGGGGACCCACAGCAGGCCATTCCGGTGAATCGGAGCCGCCGTCTTAAGCTTCTCCATGTGGCTGTTCGCGGCGTCTCTCCGCCCTCCATTCTTCTTCTTCGCGCACCTTCTATTTCTCAATCAGTTCAACTAAATAGAAAATAATGGGTGGAGTGATTGGGCGTATCATTTTCACTTCTCCGTTCCGTGCAAGCTACAAACAGCTCATGGCGTCATTGCCCCATTTTGTCAAAATATCATCAAGCTAAACATGCTTTATTTCAAACTTTATAGTAAACGATGAAATAAGAATATCATATTTTTCAATGTCTTTTTCCTAAAGTGTCTCCTAGGACGTGAGCAATTATTAGTACTCCATATCTTTTATTATCCGGGGACCCACAAATTTTGATGTACTCGGTACATCAAATTTTGATGTACCCTCCCTATCAAATCCTAAACTTCATAAAAAGATTCAAATTTCATTTTTTGGGCAATTATTTAGAGCAATTATTAGTGTCTTTTATTATCCGGCATCAAATTTTGAGAAAAATCATTCTGTGAGTTCCACATTATTTTACAAAGCCAACATTTTTAGTCAATCAATGTTAGAATTAAGTTTTCCCAATGAAAGTAACATCTTTTCCCTCCGCCTATGCCCCTTTCGCGGCCAAGTCAAATGACATTGCTACGTACCCCTCATCCACTCTAGCCCTTTCCGCCCGTAGTTACTTGTCACCCAATTAAAGGTCAAGAACGTATCTAGGCCAGTAGGCCAGATTGGTCTGATATAAATAATATTTTTGAAAAAAATTGCACATGGAAAGTGATACTTAGCTAGCTAGTGAAATACCACAATGTCTGACCACCACCGCCCCCTGGCCGGCGTATCCTTCCCCACCTAGCTTGTTACTACCCAACCAACCCCTTTACCGCCCGACCAACCCTTCACAGCCATGCTACAATCCACATGCCCTTCCACCTCCGCACAACATCCCCTACTTTTAACCCAAAGAGAGACTTCCTTTTAAAAAATGATTGTGCACAAAAATGAGTGTACGTGTGCACAGGGCATGTACAACTTAACGTGTACACGAAGCATTTTTGTGTCCATGGAACATGGTTGAGGTGTGTAACTAGATAGAGACACTGCTAACGACTTATCGTCCTGAAGAAGCTAATCATGAAGCATATCACATACTTCAACATAATGAACAATACATGTATGACAAAAGACATCAAATAGTATCAATTATCACTTGTGGAAACATAATAAAATAAAATACTTTGTAAATCATTTACAGCCATACTAAGTACTCACTATTGAGTATATAATAAAAAATGATAATGCAATTTTATATATTTCCAACTGCAAGAGCTAATTAATGATTCAGTATGTTTGCAGTGTAAGGCAGCATGATTGTTCAAGACATATCTTCTTTAAGGTAATTACAAGACGTATTTATAGGCCCAATATTCTAGTAGCACCAGGAGCCATAACATCTACATTTAATGATTCCAATCATGAAAGGTCTCCTCTAACATATTTGACACAACTCATGTATTTAATGTCTCGTTTATGTTCACGTCTCTTCAAGTTTATTCCTTGCCTCAGTTAGGGAGCCACACATTCATAGATGGCTTGCCACGTAAGCCCTGAGGGGAGTCCGCTGAGTTATCAACCAGGCTCGAGATCTGTTGTTTAGGCTGGCCCTGTCACGAACGCCATCCCCTGTTTAGGCAAAAAAGACATCAACTATTAATCTCATGTCATGGGCTTCCCTTGGATTGAGTCGTAATATGTCATTAGGCTATGGTCACAGACTATAATACCATTAGTATACAATTTCTTTTTACTGTATATATATGTGTGTGTATGTGTATTAATACATTTAATACATCAATCGTCACTTAACGTTATCATCTTTCTATTTTTGGTTGTCTCAGAAACTTTACCATTTTTCCTTGTAATCAATTGTTTTGTGGATCCCGATTATTTTTCTCTCCTCTCAAGAATCTCAACCACATAATTTTTACTTTATTATATCCATGCCGATCAAATTAAATTTGTCTAAGTTTTAAGAACAAAGCAAGTAGTTTTAGTCATACTTATATAATGTATTTTTTATATTACAAAACCACCTAGTAGAACATAGGGGAGTACAAGGAGGCTAGAAGAAGAGCAAAGAAAGCTGTAAAGGAAGCAAGAGGAAAAGTGAACAAGGAATTGTATGCAAAATTGGACTATAAGGAAGGAGAAAAAGATATTTACAGACTTGCTCGTCTTCGTGACCGTAGGACTCAAGATATAGGAAAAGTTAAATGTGTGAAGGATGTCGATCAAAGAGTACTAATGGAGGACGGGGAGATAAAAGAGAGGTGAAGGTCATACTTTGATACACTATTCAACGGCAACAAAGCGCAAGATATAGGTGATTTGACCATACCGGATTGTATGTTAAATCGTGATTTTGTGAGAAGGATCCAAACAACGGAAGTTAAGGAAGTAATTATGAGGAAGATGTGAAATTAAAGAAGAAAGCAGTGGGTCCAGATGGCATACC